CAGAGTCCACTTAATCTCTGCCCTCTCCTACCTCTGGGCATTACAGCATATTGGATATCCTTTCTGTGTACAGTGTCAATAAAGAACAGTGTTCTTTTATGTGAAACTCTATAAGCTTCTCACAGTGATTTGGAAGAAAAATGCAGTGGGTTGGTGGTTGACTCACTGCCCTAAAAAGAGGTCTGCTTTGGGCTCATCCCCTCAGTCTCTTTGCATCCCTAATGCCTAGCGAGCCCTTAGAAGTGTTTTTTTGAGTAAATGTTGGTTAATCAGTGATGGAATGGAATGAGAATTGGTGATTTTTTTTTTTAGGAAAGAAAGTATTCATGCTCATTTAAACTTTGTATTAGAAATCTTAGTTCTTAGAATTCAGCCTCCATATGTAACTCTTAGTCGTAGCGTATTTCTTGAGGAAGATAGCTTTGAAGCTGTCAAATAATTAGATAAGTAATCATTTGACAGTTCTGGTTGGATAATAATTTCTGAGATAAAAAGAAACACCTTAAAATAACACTTCCAATAATAAAATGTTTTTAAGTTTAAAAAGAATGTTTAAATTATTCCTGGCCTTTCTGTGACTACCATCCTGAGCTTCCCCATGAAAACATCTTTGATTTTTCTGATTATAAAAACTACTAGTCAGTCATTATGTCAACAATTTATTTAATACAGACACATAAAGTAAGAATTAAGTCCTTTCATAATGTTAAGAAATAACCATAGTTAAAAGCTTGGGGCATACCCTTCATACTTGTAAATACAAAGTCATGAAGTCAGAAGAATAATTGAGTATATAGGTATACTACTCCCCCCCCAAATTTGTGTCTTCATCCACATATTACTTTCTTGGAACTGTGGGAGAAAATGATCCTTAACAGTTTCTAGTAAGCAAGAGTTGTTAAATAAGTGTCCTATATTAACTCACTAAAATCAAGTATAAAAAATTTATTTTCATCATTTAATACTTATACATATAAGTATTTCTCAACTTTTTTTTCATTATTGCCTCCCAAAGAGGCTTTTTAAACATTTTCCCTCAAATTGCGCCCCCCCACACTGATATTTTGATACCACAGTTATACTCTATATATCTGTTTATGTACAGGGGCCCTCTAAAGGGCCACAAACCATTATACTATCTTAAGATTTTTTTTTAACCCTCCTAAGAACCAGTTTTCAGCCTTTTTTGGGTGATGCTGCCCCCGTTGAGAATGCATGGGGTATGTGGGTGTGTGAGAGAATGTGTGTGTGTGGTGTGTGTGTGTGTGTGTGTGTGTGTGTGTGTGTGTGTGTGTGTGTGTTGATATTTGGGGGAGAAGGAGAAAAGGCTTTGTTGTGCATGAATAGTTACTTCAGTTTCGTGGCACTTAGAGAGAAGGGGTCAGTTTTTCTGTTACTTTATCAGGTTGTCTGGAAGGGAACATTAGGTTTAATGATTACCACCATTACTTCACCAGTCTATTATCAAACTCTAAACATAGTGCCTTGGAGTGCCTAAGTGACCGAGAATATTCTGGGTACCATATTTCTATTCTTGAGAATGTTGATAAATACGACAAGGACACAATGACATTATTATAGTTGAAAGCATTTTATTGAATTTAGGGAATAGTAGTCCTAATGCATTAAGAACAATAATAAATGTTTAAACCTCTGTCCCAGTGGTTCTCAAAAATAGTGATTTTGCCTCCCGGAGGACATTTGCAATATTTGGGAGCATTTTTGGTTGTCACAACTAAAGGAGTGGGTGTTGCTAGTGGCATCTCATGGTTAGAGGCCTGGGATGCTGCTAAGCATCTTGCAATGCACAAGACTATGTACCTCCACCCCTCAAACCATAATAGAATTATCGGGTCCAAAATGTCAGCACTGCTGAGGTTGAGAAACCCAGCTTTATCCTAATGATTCTATTTCTTGGAATCTATCTTTAGAAAATAATCCAAAATACAGAAACAGTTATATATATGCCTAAAGATAATCACCGAAGCATTCTTTAATTTTTTCCTTTACAAAGTCTGTCCTTTCAGAAAACTTATAAGCAAAAAAGAGGGGGACTCAGAGTTCCCCTCATAAGTAATGTTGTTGGGATTTTGATGTATGTGTATTTTTTTAAGTGGGACATATATCACTATATATACTTATGAAAAATGAGAAACAAACTCAGTTCTTTCAGATTCAGGAAGAGATTTGGTTGCCTGTGTCAGGACCACATCAGTTTCAGGAAAACTAAAGAACTACTTGAGAGATAATTAACTCACTCATTTCAGGAACTGTTTATACAACACCCTTCAACCTCTTTGTCCACTCTCACTTAAATCTTATACTCTGCATTACTGTTCTCAAATGCCTCTTATACTACCATAGAGTAAAAAAGTACAGGCAGTTTTTCAATGAAGTTAACTTTTAGTTCTGTACACCAGTAAAGGTAAATGATGGTCCCATCCCTGAGGATATTCTTTTATTTTTTTCTTTACTGTGATTTAATATGGAAGAACAAGAACAAATGGTAAAAAATTGGAAGCAATCATAAATGTCTATCAGTAGAGAGTAGATAAATAGATTTTAGCATTCTTCATGCAATGGAATATAATGTAGCAGTTAAAATTAATGAACTAATTTACATGTATATTCATAAATCTCCAAAGCATAATATAAATGAAAAGCAAGGCATAAGATATTTAGACTATAACACTGAAATAAATGTTGATATCACACAAAATACTGTATTATTTATAGTATGTATATATATATATATATGTGTGTGTGTGTGTGTGTGTGTGTGTGTGTGTGTGTGTGTGTATATAAATTATAATATCATGGATGACAAAAATAAACACCCAGCCTCAGGATAGTAGTTACCTCTGATGATGAGAAGAGAATTGGATCAAGGAACAGTAAAAAGACTCATCAACCATATTAATAATCTTATATTTCTTAGAAGAAAAGTATCTCAAGCATATAAATATGGCAATATACAAGTTGGTTAAATCTGACTATGGTTACATTAAGTTTTTATTCTCTTTTTGTTTTTGAAATATTGCAACGTCACATTTTTTTAAAACTAACTACTTTTCAGATTTGTTCATATTTGAACTGAGGCCAGATATAGAAAGATTTTTATAATAGTCATAATTTAGCAATGTATATATAATAAAAGTAATGAATGATTTCCATATAACCACAACTAACTACAGCAAATAAAATTATTTTCAAGGGCTTTTCTCTCTTTGTTTTTGGAATGTTAAGTACTTTTTGAAGGTATTTAGGGTCTACTGAATGTTAAGAAAGGTGAATGGTTCTTGAAATTACACAAGCAATGGTTGGGGTAATTGAGTATGATTTACAGTTCCACAAGATGACAAGTTGGTCAACTTTCTTCTTCCCCATGTAACTAATCAAATATATTTAGAAAGAAACCATATTGTGCATTAAGATTAAAAAATCAGTTTATTTCATAATAAGAGAGAAATGTGGTATCTCTCAGCCTCTTGATAGTGATACTACACGATGCCTGTTTCACAGATAACAAATATTGCAAGGTGTTTCATTTTAGAAGACTTCTTTATTTAAAACCAGTAACTTTGTGGTTTGCATTCAGATTTTTTTTTTAAGTTTTTTCCTCTGAGATTTTAGACACCTGACCTTTAAATTAGTAAGGGGTGCTTTACAACTTTGTTCTATCCAAAAAAATATTAAACTTAACATGCTTGTTTCTTGTGTGATAAGTGGCACTATCAACATAAGTGTAATCAAGCATATTTTTCTCTAACTAGTGCTCAAAACTGTCTTGTTATTAACCAAATCTGTGATTACTTACCCTAATAGAAGGATTTTTACTTGATTTTATGCTAGTTGTCCTCAGACAAAAATTTGCTTAAATCATATGAATGTTTGGTGGGAGACACTCTACTAGATTGTATTAAAAGAAAATTATTTTAGATTTTGGGCTCGTGCTGCTAAGGGATAGTTTTATAGGAGATGCTAGCCATTGCTTGGACATACAGCTGGCAATTAACTTGCCAATGGGTTGTTAGAAATTTCTTCTAAGTAAGGAGAACGTGTAAAACGATCATGTAGTGAAGACATTTAAATTTCTGTAATGGATTGACTATTTTGAGCATTAAATTTTTTAAAAAAGGAATGGTGTCTAGTGTCACCAAATTTAGATATGTTAAATAGAGCATATGACTATTTTTCTAAAATCACACATTTAGTGAATTATTACTGTTGATCCTGTTATCAAACCAAAGTTTAGACTGAAAGCGAAGGGACTAACTCAGAGTGCATTCTGCTTAGCAACCAGCTTGTCTCCTGTTTTGCTACTGAATCCAAGTACTCATGGCTCAGAAGTGTTTCTGCAGCCAGCTGGTCTCAACCAGACAATACTTCATTCACCTAATTTCCAGACTCGTCAGGCAGAGACATCAGCTCATTATTTTTAGTCACAAGGAAATTTATTTGTAAACTTCAGGCAGTAGCACAGTGATCTCAGAAGCCCCCGAACTATGAGAAATTTCCTTCTAATTCAAGAATGCGAAGTCCTTGGAATTTCGAACTGCTCTGCCTAATTTTTTTTCCTCTTAAAACCTCTTGCAAGTATATTGTTTAAAAAACATAACCTCTAGGGCTTCCCTGGTGGCGCAGTGGTTGAGGGTCTGCCTGCCGATGCAGGGGGCGTGGGTTCGTGCCCCGAACTGGGAAGATCCCACATGCCGCGGAGTGGCTGGGCCCCTGAGCCATGGCCGCTGAGCCTGCGCGTCCGGAGCCTGTGTTCCGCAATGGGAGAGGCCACAACAGTGAGAGGCCCGCATACCGCAAAAAAAAAAAACATAGCCTCTAAAAATCCTAGAAAAGAGAAAATATTTTTCAGTAGAAAAAATACGTTAAATTCTAAGAATACTTTTAGAATTATTATCTGAAAACAAAAATTCAAGAAATCAGTTTTTTGTTCAGACTTTTATTGTCTGCCTTGATCTCCACATGATTATTTTCTGTTTTAGAAAACGACAGTTTTGTTGGCACGTGAAGCTCCAGTTTCCTCAGAGTCAAGCTGTGTATGTAGAAAAAAGGTATAGTATCACGACTCTGTTAAGAACTCACTTGTTTTCATTTTGTCTCCATATTTGAAATAAACTGTTAACTTAAACATGATGTCAATAGTAGACTGGATAACTAAGTGTGGTATATTCATACAGTGCGATGCTGCACACCACTGAAAATGAATGAACTACATCTACACATATCAGTGTGGATGAATCTCAAACATAATGTTGAATGAGAAAAACAAGTTAAGGAAGAATGCAGAGTATGATTTTCGTATGTAAATATGAAAAAAATGAAAGTGTACTTTTTAGGAATACTTTTAGTGGTGGTAGAACTCTAAGGGAAATGATTAGCACAGAAATCATGATGGTGTTTACTTCAGCATGGGGACAGATGTTAAGGAGAGCTATGCAGGGAGAATCAAGAGGGCTGAATCAAGAGGAAGAATCTTAAGCTAGGTGGTTATATAGGAAATGAAAAATAAGCCAAAATTCTGCTATGATAAAATTGCTGCTATTAACATCATAGTGTGTTCTCAGAAAATACATGATTTTAGACATGTATATATGTATACTCATAATTGGAAGTAATTTGCATAACAGTTTTTTATCCTACTTTTTTCATATTATGAACATTTCAAATGTCATTTAAAAATTTGAATGGTGATATACTATTTGATTCCTTGGGTTAGGAAAATTTTAAGTTGCTTTTTAAATATCTTTAGCATATATTCACATTATGCATAAATGTCCTCTCTTTGTAATTGTCATGGATTTTAGGGAAGAACTTTCTTATTTAAGGTTGCATACCAGACTAAAGACAGGGAAAGGACTCATATTTTACAGGTGGGGTATGTAGCACAGTAGTGTATACGAATATGTATAAATGATTAAGGAAAATTGCTGGTTCAAAACAGTGTCTTGATTTTGTTTCTACAGCTTTATAGTATAAAACAATATGCATACATACATACAGGAAATTTGGTAAACCTAAAATGCTTTGTTTCCAGGGAGAGTAGTATCAATTTTTTAACCTGGTCTTATGATTTAGAATAAATAAATATGAACATGCACTGAAACTGGCATCATCTGAAACCTTTTTTTCAGATTTTTGATTTCTGCAACTTTCAAATCTACTTCACCGTGATATCTTTCTTTCATCTTTGAACACAGGAGTGTGTTAAATGAGGCTTTGTATTTTTATAATTGATTTATAGGGAACTTCTCAAAATATTATTTTTAAGACTTGTTAAATGTGTCCAGAAGTGTTTTTGAGCTTTTTTCCTAAGTAATTTTTGCTTAAAAGGATATTATATTTTGCCAAGACTAAAATAAAAGGTCTGTGTTCAGTTATTTTTTTAAAGCCACAATATTTAGTAATTCTAAATTAACACCTTTAATAGAAAATTATAAGTAATAAGTTTTGTTTTTGTTTTTGTTGGGAAGAGTACCAGATGATAAAACTATTAATGAAATCCTAAGACCTTACATTGATCCTGAAAAGTCTGATCCTGTAATTCGTCAAAGGTATGTTTCAAAAATCTTGTAACTTTCTGAAATTATTAAAAATGTTGAGGTATTTACTATATGCATATTTATTAAATAAAGCCATGTCTTTATTAGAGCATAATGTTTCCGTACTGTTTACTTTCTGTCCCATTTCCTTGGTGTGTACTCAAGGCTTTGTCAGTCAGAGATGATGCTCTGGGTGAGGATTTTGGTTATAGTAATAACAGCAGTACTTAACACTGTTTGCTGCATTCCAGATACTACTCTTTGAAGCTTATAATAATAAATGTATTAATTCATTTAATCTTCACAATAACCCTTTAAGGTAGATTATTGCCGTTATATCTATTTTACAGATGGGAAAACTGAGCCTTAAAGTGGTTAAGTGACTTCACATGGCTAATAAGTAGGGAAGCTAGGATTCAAATCCAGGTGGTCTGGAGTCAGAGTCTGTACCCTTACCCCTTTAAACTAAACTGCCTTTCACAGTTGAACTAAAAACTCTGAAAATTGAGTTTCCAAGTAGTTAAAGACAGGAAATCCTATTTCAGCCAAGTCTTCATAAAACTGAGTAATACACGCTCTGCCTCCTGTCCAGAAACACACCATGGACAAAAATGGTTAACATAGCATAGTGGAAAGATTCAGTTATGAATATCTGGGTTAGAATAGCTAATTCTGTCCCTTATTAGCTATGTGATCAGGAACCAGCTTACTTCCGGACCTTAATTTTTTCCATCAGTAAAATGAGAATGATGATGTTTACTAGATAGAGTTGTTACGAAGCTTGTAAAAAATTACATATATACAGTTCTAGTACAGAGTCTAGCACATAGTAAGCAGCAGTCAAAAAAGGAAACTATTAATATGTGAATTATTCGTGTTTCTGAGCAGGAATTTCTTTTCACTGGGTGATACCTGCTTAGGTTATGAATACTTGGTTTGGTTAAAATTTGAAACTGAGTGGATTCTGAAGTGCCTGACTCAGTTCTAGTTAAATCTCATCTTCTACTTTTCATAGAAAGTGGTGCCCAGACTCAGACAAATCCATGTCACATATCAAGCAGAGTCTCTGGGACCGCTACCAGAGTTGAGTTTCTTTTCCTCTTATTACCGATAATCTAATTGTTATCACTGGTCATATATTTAGCAATAAGACAAAATACCTGCCACCAAATTGGATACATTTTTTAAAAATAAATAAATTAGCAAGATTAGTCTGTACAGAGAGAAGAAAGGTAATTTTTAAAACAGATCCTTGGTTGAAAAATATCTTTAATACCTTTTCTGTGCTTGGATAGATAAATTTTAAGTATTATTATTATTAACTACTCATAGATGCTTAGTTTCCATAGGCACAGTTTTAAAATACACTAAAAATCAGTTTTGCTTCCTTTAATATGACATTTTTATTTCAGGTTGAAAGCCTATATTCACTCTCAGACTGGGGTCCGAATTTTAATGAAGGTAGAAAATATGCAGCAAAATTTAGTAAGGTAAAATTGCTTCCCTCTCCATTTCTTTAAATGTTTTCTAATTCTGTAATATAATTAAGTAGCTTGCTTAGCTTAAGTGGCTAGTTATTATACTAATTATCTGGCAATCAACAAAGTGTAAGCTTTTAAAAATGACCTTCAAATTAAAATTTTTAAATAATCACACTTATCATAATACAGGATAAATTCAATTGAAAAATCACCCTGGTTAGACTATTTTAAAGTAACATCATGTGCAACTGAAAGATTTTTAAATCCCATTTTAACTTATTTCAAGAAATATTCTGTACAACAGAGTTCCAAAGTTCAAGTTTTTGCTTTTGGAAATAAAAAATTCCTGTGATGAACTGACCATTGTATATATCACAGTGGAAAGAACTCTACCTAGAAATGTGAAGAAAGCCAGGTTCTAACAAACTATGTGATTTGAGGGTTTTAATATCACTGGGCTCCCTGTTCCTTCATTAATGGAGTGATGAAGTAGACTACACTAAAAGATCTCTGAGAGTCCCTTCAGTGTCTGCAGTTATGTGTCATTACATTGAATTGCAAAACCCTGATCTTTAATATCTGTGATGCTTTCCCCGTCTTCCATCGTTTCATTAACAAAACTACTAGATCCAGTCCAGACTAGATAGGATTGGTCTCATCTGCTAGTAGAGCTTAGAGATGTAAGCATCCAGGCTGTGAAAGCAGAGCTGGGTTTGAATCCCAGCCCTGCCTGCTTCCAGTTATGTTAACTTGAGTAAATTACATAACCTAACTTGCCTTCGTTTCCTCATCTCTAAACTGGAGGTGATGATAGTCAGATTACCATGAGAGATTAAGATGATTATTTAGCACATGGTAAGTGCATGCTTTTATTATTTCTACTATTACTATTACTACTACAGAAGATAAATGGATTCTTAAAAAACATCTTCTAAAATTCAAGGAAACCAAAGTTGTATGTGATAAAAGGTAAATGTAAGATACAGAATATTTTTAAGTTTATAATATAGGACAGACTGCATAGGCCCAGATAGCATTCATTTTTGACTTGGAAATATGTACTGTAAATCTACGAAGAGGGAAAGGGAATGACGATCTCAGCTTGTCCTAGGAGACAGGGTTTTCTAGGAGAGTGGCAGAAATGCATGCAACATGACATGACCCAGAGGGGAGCAGTTGGTAAAACTGTTTTGGGCAGTTGCATAGAAGGAAATCAGAACATAGAAAGACCAGAACACAGGAGGGTACTAATAAGACTGGTAGGTTTTATTTTAACAAAGAGGATAAACCTTCACCAAAAAAAAGGTTAAAGGAGCGTACTGCAGTGAAGATCAGATGACCTAATTCGAGACACTCAACTTTTCTGGGCTTCATGTCCCTTTAAGGTCCTTTACTTTCTCTTATTTTATGACTTTCCTTCTTTAGGAACCCAAAAAGGACTTTGGTTGGGCCTTGGGTTAACCTTCTTAATCCCCAAAGGGGAGGGAATGATAGATTAATAAAGTAAAAGATAAGTGGTATTGACTTTAAGGAATACCTAGAATAGGCTGTTTTGTTACTAAACCTGAGCCAAACTTAGTAACATGAAAAGTACTCTGACTTTACCTTATCTCTGTAGAAAACATGTCCTCCAGATTTCTCCATTTGAGTTGTTTACTTGAACTCAATGATGTATGAAAATACCATCAAAGAAGAGGAAGCAGAAGTTTACAACCAAGATCTAAGAATTTTGTATTTAAAAATTGCCACCCTATTTAACTTTGACTAGTGATATTATCACTTTAAGGCAATAATAATGTTAGAAACTCCAATTGAGGTAGCTTTTATCATGAAGGTGGACCTAAGTTGGAGTAAGGTACATCCTTATATTTCTGACTGTTCAGTCAGCCTTAAGGTATAGTTATCCTAATTTCTACAAAACTTCCCAGTTTTATTAGGATTTTCTAATCATGAATAATGAAAGTAGATACTATGGAGATACATTTAGAAATAGATTTTTTTAATTAAAGATTTTTAAACCAGTGTTCACCAGATAGTACATTCATAGATAGGCTAAGATGAGCATTCACATTTGATTGTATGCTTAATCACAGTTATATCATTAAAGGAAAGTACATTCAGAGAACATCTAAGTAAGGTTATTATAGGTTATAAAATGTGGGCTTCTAATTTAAGATAAGGAGGATTTCATTATTTCCTGAAAAGTACTTAGAAGGTAGAACCATGTGTTTTCCTTGTGGCTTTCTGATTTTAAATGTATCATGATTTATAGCATTCCAGTAACTTCAGGGAAGAGTCTTTTTACCAAATACTTGGTATTGCCAATTTCCAGTGGTTGTGTTTTCCATTCTTGAAGAGTTTATGACAATTGTCCCATGATATACCTGATCAGCTAGAGCAATCTTAAATGTTTCCCAGGCTTTAGCTTTGCCATATACAACTTTTATTTTTAGGTTTAGGTGATCATAGAATGTATGTCTAACTCTAAAGAATTTGTTGCTGACCTATTTCGGAGTTTTCTTTCCAGAATACACAGGGTTTGAATTTGTATCTTCTTATAAAAGTAAATATGTCTTCTTAAGTAAATCCATTCATTCATTCAGCAAACACTTAGTACCCATTGTGGTCCAGGTGTTGTTCAAGACATTAGGCTGATAGCAGCAAGCAAAACCGTTCCTGTCTCTGTGGAGCTTACATTCCCAGTGGAGGAAAATTCATGTAAGGTACCCTCTTGCCACATTATTTCTCACCAGCTTTCTGTTCTCAGAAAGTAAATGAGTGTTTTGAGGCAGAAAAGCCTATGTTGGTAACACCAGGCACCATCAGAGGCAGCCATTGTATTGCTGCTAACTTATTACTGACAAGTTAGAATACTCCCAGCTTTGATACTGTCTATTTAATTGTAATTTTTCAAATCTATTGAATTTTAGACCTATATTTTACTTATTAATAGAATCATTTATTTTTCATGAAGAAATTCAGATACATTTTCTATTTTTTATGTTTACTTTGCTGCTTTGATGTTCATATAAGATCCTGATTTTGATAAAGATGTGGTTTAAGCTATTGTGGGATGATTCTTTCCAAATTTACTCAAAAGCCATTAATTAAGCACATTTACTCTCCTAGGCATATAAATAAAAATTGGGGTTTATACAAGACTGAGTAGGGTATAGTTCTGTTGTATCAGAGAAAACAGACATGAAGTAAAGGTGACTGGGGTACCTGGCATGGATCTGTCTTCTGAGAGATGGAGGTAAGGCCTGGAGAAGCTTAGGGCACATTGAGTTTCAAGTAGAAGTGGCATCATTTTCTCGAACGTTATTTTCAAAAAGAATGGCCTTTCTATACTAATCCCTTATTACTAAGCTCCCTCCAGAGTAAGATTATATCGCATTCCAACAAGAAATAGTAAATCCTTCCAGAATACATAATCTGTGGAGAAGTAGACCTTATTTTACTTTTAAGAGGTTCCAGGTTAGACTCTGTAGACCAAAAGTTTTACCATTACAAATACTAAATTTATTAAATCACTAGTTCTCAAACCTAACACAAATTATGAGATGTTCCAAAATAACCTTTTTGCTCTTATCCAAAAACCTACATCAAAGTAGATTTTCTATAAATGTGAAATAGTGTTATAAATTTGATGCAGACCTTGGAAAGTTACTAAGTTTCTGTTTTCCCATCTGAAAGTGGGGATCAAGACAGAGGTATTGCACTGTTGTGAAGATTGCTTCCAGATAATGCATGTCAGCTACTTAGTATGGTGCCGGGCACATAGCAAATCACTCTCAGTAAATATGTATTATTCATGTATTACAAGTTGCAGCATTTAGGTCAACATCTTGCTGAGTTGACTCAATGAATGTAAGAGTTTTTGTTGTTTTAATCCTAGAAATTACTTTTCTTAGTATCAATAAAAGGAGGAAATCTGTTTTTTAAAAAAAGTTCTGTGTGGCTGGCAGTTGACTTACGTATTACTTTTTGAAAAATAATGGCTTCTTTCAGCCAAATGATTTCTTATACTTCTGGGAAGTACTCTAAGTTCAATATTAGCTATGCTCCCAACAGGTCACTCACCACTAACCACAAGGGGGCAGATACCCAATCATGTTAGTTTACATTTCTTTTGACATAAATTAGTATTGGAAGAATATGAAGCTTCAGGGGCTACTTTATTTAAGATGTCATCAACTGTTATCTCTGTACAAATGACTCCCAAATCTAGAGATATTTTTAACCTTTCTCCCAGACTTCAAATCTTAGTTTGCATGTATCTTCACTTACACATCTCATTAAATCTTAAACTCAACATGTTTAGATCTCATCACACCACATCCATTTGTTCCTAGTGTGTGTTTCTGTGTGTGTTGTTTTAAATGAGGATTAAATAGACTGTTGATGTACCTGACATCTAGTAAACAGTCAATAACTGTTGACAGTTATTCCTTGTTATTGGCACTGTCATTCTTCTTGTAAGCAAGGCATATGACCTTAGAGCCATCTTTCACTTCTCCCTCACCACCCTGCCTTATGTGGTCGGCCTCCATATGAGCCTTCTGTATGTTCTCTCCATTCTTTTGAGAAGATTACTGTTTATCAGTGTCTACAGTGGAGCCTATCCCTTCCCCCCAACTGGATGTAATCCTTATCCTTTGGGCCTCAAAAACTTCTCATAGGTTCCTGCAATCCTGTCTTATATTTTATCCCAATAAAACATCCCATATGATGATAAACTCCCTTTTGAAGACAGTGGCTGCCTTAGGCATCTTCATCTTTATATTTCCTGCAGTGCTGAGTCAGTGACTTTCCCATAATAGGAATTCAGTTTTAATTTTTTTAATAAGTAGTATACTGATGCACTTAAATATACGTGTGCCTGCTATGTGCTAGGTGTTGTTACCACTTTAATACTCTAAAGCAGGGTTTGGACAGCTTTTTTGCAAATGGCCAGACAGTAAATATTTTTAGCCTTGTGGGCCATACAGTTGTAGTTGTCAATCCAT